CAAGAATGCATACTTCACAAATCATGGAAATCAAAAGGTTAACCAAGGCCAGCCTAGGTGGCTTATGGGGAAAATGCTTTTAAAATAAAATTGTAGATAGACATATATGAACTTAAATAATTTTAGAATTCTAGTTGCAGGTGGTAATTTGGAAAAGTGAACAAATTCATGCCAAATTCATGTAAAAGCAAGCAAACAAAGTTCACAGTTACACAAAGAAATCAAGGAGTAAGTCATTAGCTGTAAATCACTTGTATATAACATGGCGTCAAAAATGGAACGGGGATTATGCCATTCTCTGTTTCAGAGAACAGAGAATATAGACATTGGCCTTTAGGCCAATATCACTGTGCATGAACACAAACTCCAGATTGGTTCAACTACAAAGTAAGACATTTTACTAAAATTAATAAAGCCAATAGAACATAATACTACATTTGAGGCACATTCAATTACCCAAGATATTACTTAGAAAAAAGCTTTAACATACACAACTAAGAACTCAAATCACCAGAGGCAAGCTGTGTTTGCTTGTTTGCTTGTTTGTTTGTTTGATATTAGTGATATTACAACAACAAATCTATGTCTTCTCTAACATCTCTCTTCTTATCACTGGTCCCTGAATCATAACATTCTGCTACATTTTACTATAACTAGTTATTTTTGTATTTGTTTTGTCAGGAAAATATTGGGTAAAAGATAGATGAAGACACAGGGCACAGGAAATATATATACATACATATATATTTACACATACATATATATATACATATATATTCAAATAAATCAGAGGTAATAAGGAAATATGCAAGTGGTAGCAACCATTTATTTTATCAAGCAACATTAGATACAAGGGAAGAGCCCCAGACAATATGAGTATTCATAGTCATCAGTAATAATGAATTTTAATTTAACCAATGCTAGGTTGTGAAAGGGAACTAAGCACATTTTTAGACAGCCCTCCCAGCAATGCTTAATTAAGATGGAAGATAAAACAAACAAAAATAGTTATGGGGCCCACTTTGAAGTTCTGATAAACAAAGCAACTGAAAGTTTAGAACAAAACCATAAGAAAGCAGTAAAAGAGGACCTGATAGAGCTCATGTAGAAATCTATAGATAGTAAACCAAAAAATTCAAAAGTAAATTATTTTCCTTGATAAAGAATATAAAAGTGACATAACTTCAGTCTAAGAATATCTAAGAGATAAATAGCTGAGCCTAGAAAATGCGTAATTCTTCCAAAGAGGAAAACTAACAACAGCATGTAGAATCTGAATCAGCTTTAAACTGTCTGCAAACCAGGGACACCAGAATATATTTCTTTTAAGTTTCAAGCGTGTGAATTTTTACAGACGCCCTTAGAATACAAACAATCTTTCTGCTTTGGATTTGTTCAGGCCTTTGGAACCCTCTAAATGAGGAGCCACATAAGATTGCTTTCAAACATCTACAGCAATATTAAAATCTCAAAGCCCATAAAATAGTTCAAGTGTGCCAAATATTAGTGATAAGTAATTGGAAAGGACTGTTGCTATGTCTCAATTCAACTATGATTTTTACTTTTTTTTTTTTTAACTAATGGAACTGCCAGCAAAAGTTATTCATAATCCGAGTCCTAAATCACTTTTTCACTTTTTCTTCTTTGTGGCCAAGGACCTTCCTTTGATTTCATATAGAAAGGTGGAAATTATGTCTCTTTTATTCAGTTTTCTGTTAAATCGTATCACTAATAGCCAGTTCAACATGAGGTTATCAACATTGAAAGAGACAAAAGTGTTGACCGGAGCTAACTGTAACTCCTAAAACATATCAAATATTATTTCTTTTATGTAATTAGGATCTGCATTGTTCCCATCTTCTCTTGCCATCAAAATATCTGGTAAATTTGTTTAGCTCTGACCATTTTATTGTTATATTCTGTAAGAATCTGAGCCAAATCAGCTGGTTATCTTTACATATTTAAATATGCTTTCTACAAGATATAACCTGAGAGCTATGCACAAATAATTGTTTTGTATGCCTGAAACTTAAACAAAGAGAATCCAACCTCTCATTATCGATTATGTGCGCACATATCAATGTTTGCCTGCTCCCTGCTCTCCTTTCCTCACATACTAATTATGGGGAGTTCCTTCTCATTTAAAGTTCCTAGAAAACCACAAAGTTTTTCAAAGTAAAACTACTGCACTGTCCTCAGTGTAAAGAAAGGAAATGCCAATATTGGATTCTTCAGTACATTCCTTTCAAAAAATAACTTAAGGTTTCCATGCACACAAAAATTATGAATTCTATGACAACTATATCTGAAAACATAAAGCAGTGTTCGAAGACCAATAAATTGTGTATAGTCATCATGTTCACATGCAAGTTCCTTTTAATTACTTGACTTATTATAATATATGATGAATGGCAATGGCCACATTTTAAACATCTATGTATAAAATATATTTATTTTATTCACATTTAAGCTGAATGTCAAAAATCACTCCTTAATAAATTCTACTTTTTATGCTTAAACTTTGAGAGGGTCTTTTTAGGTGGGTGCCCTCACGCATCTACCCAGAGTGAAATATCAACATGTTTCTCCTCTCTTTAAAAATCTAGCCATTTGATTACAATGAGTTTTCTTTCACTTAATTATTGCTAATAATTGTGCCCATGTGGCTTTCTTAAGGAAGTATTGAGCTGTACAACTATGAACACGAACCGTTTAAGTAAAAGAGGGATGGAAGAAGGGATTCAAGGAAGAAAGGAGAACTACATGTCTAATGCAGACATAAAATATGACAGCCCTAATGATCCCAGTGCATATAACTATATGCACTCTATTAATGGAGATGCAAATAAATCAAAATTGTAAATTGTGTTTAACAGCATTAAACAAACACTACATTTAAAAATTCCAGTACACTGAGAATATCCTCAGTCATAACTCACAGTGACAGAAAAGATAAACAGGCCTCTTCACAACATAAAACATTTCCCGAGGTATGGCACACTGCAGACTTTGGGAAGAAGCTCTCTGAATGCCCATCTCCACTTCAGTTCCTACCTCCAGTGCAGGCCCACATTTCTATACACTCTTCTCTCCACCGCTGCCTAAGCAAACCACTGCAAGTTAGGAGCCCATGCAAAGATGTGCCTTCCAGGCAAACTTGTTTTCTAAAGTAAATCTCTGCAAAGACTTCCAGTTGGAAAATGTCCAGTTCTGCTACCTGACACCAGAGCATCACTTTCTCCCTCCGGGCTTACCTGCTACTAAGTAACTCTCCTTCCAAGTTCCTGGTGGCTATGTTGGGAGATAACTATTTAAGTGTTTCTGAATGTGTGACTGCAAAGATGCACACCTCACACACTCCCCTGGGTCTTTTGCATCCTTCCCTCCTCCCTCCTGTCTCTTCTGAGAACTCACCCAGGCCACTTCATGCACCTCACACTGCCAATGCCTGCCCACCTGGAGGCAAGTAGCACTCTAGGAATGAGTCTCCAGATCAAGGGACTGAGCGGATTTCAACATGTGGTGAGAGGAAAGGTGGGGGAGGGGTATGAGCCTCACAGATAGCAGCTGTCCACTAAGTGGTTTAAAGCTGTTGCTTAAAGAGCTGGATAAACAAACACACAGATGGGTCCAGTTCCTCAGGGGATTCCCGATTGTTAGGAGCCTCCCAAACCCTGGCCAGTTCGGGCTCTGGACTAAACCCTTTGCAAAATGCACATTGATTTCACTTTCAAAGGACACCAACCTGAACACTTCTTCTTCTTGAAGTTTCTTGTAATAATAAAAGCATGACCCATTTCGCTTCAGACCCGGAGAAACTTACCTACGAGTTCTTAGGGTCTGGGGACAAGGAGGGCAACTTTTCCTCCGCGCACTAGAGGCCTGGGCCCACTTTAAGATGGGACTTCGGGGCGCATCTGGCCCGGGGGAGGAGGGTAAGGAGAGGCGCTTTCACTGTGCCTGCGACCACCTGGTGAGTCAGGCCACCTCTCACAGTCACGCGCGCGTCTCTGTAAGCATGAAGGCTCTTCCCTAGCTCTGTGCTGGTCCCAGCCACCCCAAGTTGGATACAGGGGTTTAAAAAAAAAAAAAAAAAAAACGCTGGCGAGAAGCCTTTCCTTTCTCACAAAGGTGTCTGCGCCCCTCCCAGGAGCCTTCCCCCAGAAGGAGCAAGACGCGAGGACACCCACACACGGAGCAAGGAGCACTTTCCAAAGTGGAATAAAAGTAAAATCGGGACAGATCCCGAGGGAAGCCGGCCGTGCTGGCTCACGGACAAGTGGAAGACGGCGATCAGGAGTGGCTCGAAAATGCGTGGTTATCTCAGGCGTCACAAGGGGCCAGGAGTTTCTTAACTAGAGAGAAAAGGAGTGTCCCCTAGACGCCTCTCAGGTTCCTTGGATAAGTACTTCTGAGATGAACGCAGAAGTGCCTAAGACCCAAGAAGCATGCACTTGCTCGCTGGAGTAAATAAAGGTCAGCAGTCTGATCAATAAAGTGTGCGCTTCTAACCACCACATGTTTTTACTGCTGTTTCTCCTCCCTAGGGAGAGTGGGAAGGAAGAGAGAAAGACAACAAACATTTTTTTAAAAGAGTAAACAAACACATCTGGTGTTTCGACACATCTTTTCCTCCAGACTTAGTCTCTCTGGACGAGACAACATTCTGCATATTCAAAACTAACCAACTAAATAAATAAATCACCGGGGAGCCCACAGAGAAATCTCGTTTCTCTGCACACTCCTTTCCACCATCACAAAGCAAAATGCTAAGAACCAACAAGTGGCTATGCTGGGTTCAGAATGACCCCGACCCCACGTCGGAACCTGACACATGTCACCGTGGCCCCACCGCGCAGGACGGCGGGCGCTGGGGCGAAACTTTGCTGCCGCGACGGGAGCAGCGTGGAGGAAAGTCGCAGTCCGCTCGCGCGTGACTGTAATCGGGACAGGGTGGAGTGCTGAGTGCAGAGCGTCAGAGTGAGGGCGAAGAAACTTACCGCGGCCAGGGACCCCGTGGGCAGAGTCCCGGGAGGTGGCACCCGCAGCGCGCCCAGGCAGAAGCCCCCGAACAACACACCCACGCTCGAGTCCCGGCAGCCGCGGCTGCGAGTTGGGGGGACGCCAGGGGTGGGGGGACTCGAGGAAGCTGCGGCGGGAGGACGTGGCCGCCGCATAAATGCCCTGGGCGGGCGCTAGCGGGCCAACTGCGGGTGGCGCCGGGGCTCCGGCCGGGACGAGGCTGCGTCCGGGGAGCTGCACGCGCCGGCGTGTCTCGCGCTTTCTCGGAGGCTCGCGCTCTCTCGCGCTGCAGCTCCCCCCAACCCGGATCTCTGTATGTGTATGTGTGTGTGTGTGCGTGTGTGTGTGTGCGCGCGTGTATGTGTGTGTATGTGTGCGTGTGTGTGTGTGTGTGTGTGTGTGTGTGTGTGCGTGCACCGGCGGGCGCGCGCACCCGGTTGCGCGCGCGTGTTGTTGGCAATGCAAACTGTACACACACTGCGCGCGGAGCCGCCTCTCCTCCGAGGGGCGGGCTGGGGGAAGGGACATTTTGGCAGACGCTCAAGTACTGTTGGGCCACTTGTTTTGTCTTACTTTGCGTAGTTGGGATTGTTGTTTTTTGTTGTTGTTGATATGTGTGTTTTTTTTTTAAGTGGTTTGAACTTCTCCACCAATCCCTTCCTGCCCCTCCCCACCAACCTCTTCCAGGGTTGGGGGAAATCGCGGGCCAGCATAGAGCCGGGCTGTGCGGTGGAGCCTCCTGGATGACGTCAGGTCCACCTGCTATGTAAACAACTCGCTGGAGAACTTGTTTGTTCTGCGCCGATCCCCCCACCCCCACCCTTCTCCCCACCTCCTGCTCCGCCTCCTCCCGCCGCCCCAGACGGCGAGTCGGGGATGGGGGTGGGGAGGAGAGGCGAGAACAAAACCGTATGCTGTATTGGCACAGCCGAGTTGTGTCTGCTGCTTCTTGGCAGTCCCTAAAGTACGTCCTCTCAGCAGACGGAGCTGCTGGCAAATGAAACAGGGGATTCCACGTGAAGTGCAGAAAGCCTCGAAGGGATCCGAAGCCCTTGGTGGCAGGTAGTTAAAGCACAGAGTATCACTGAGGGAGCCCGCGCGAGCACAGCAGCGCTGATTGGCCTTTCTCTCCTAGGCGTGCGCCTCTGCGGCCTGGATGGAGAGGCCGAACCTTTCCCACTCTTCATTGTCGTGGCTCCCGTCTCACTGGGGGCCAGGACTGCTGGGGCTTCCTCACCGGGGCGCAGCCCAGGTCACCGGGGCGGGGCTTGGAAAAATGGCACCACCAAGCTGTGATTTTTTTTTTTTTTCTTTTTTTAAGTCTGAGGCTTTGGGGACTGACTCGATCAATGACTAGGGAAAACAAAATAACAGGAATGAAAGGAAAGAAGAAATTGCCAGCGCCCGCTCGCAGCGCACTTCAAAGCAGTGGCCCGGGTGTGGGGGCGCTCAGGAGTGTCTCGGTCACCAGGACCCTCCTCCTATGCCCGTGCTCCGACCTAGCTAGCTGGCCTGAGCAGGACCGATGGGGAGATGACAGAGAAAAGGCCGGAGGAGATCAAGGCGGGCCCTGATGGGGCGCGTGACTTGAGTCTGGGTGGGTGTTCCTCCGAAGCCCCCTCTCCACCTTAGCTCTGGGAGGGCAGTGCCTTCCCCAGGTCTCTCGCCAGCCCCTCCCAGGCCGCTGGCCCCCGCAACCCTTCACCGCCTGCCTTCAATGCGCGCCACCACCGGAGCTTGCAGCTCAGCAGCGGAATCAGTCTCGTAGCTTTCCGAGAGGCACAGAAACTTTCCATGGAATAGCTACAGCCAAGAAGCCCGGGCGGAGGCGAGGGGGTGGGAGCGACACGGGACGACAAGGATTGGGGTGGGGGGCTTGGCTCCCTCCTAGCAATTCTCGGGAGAGAAAGAGCTGCTAACACACAGCTCCTGTTTGAGAGGGGATGGTGAAATGGGGTGGCAGACGATCAGCACCAACTTGTGCCTTCGAGTCTCCCCTTTCCTCAAAGACCAACACGCCCTTTATTTAAAGGGCAGAGCAAAGGAGCGCTCACACACACACACACACACACACACACACACACACACACACACACACACACTTCTTCTTCTGAACCTGCAGCTCTCCGGGGGAGGAAGCGGCGGCCCTGGCACCCACATCTGTAAACACACCGCCACGTTTGCTAGTGAAACCAACTTTTGTCAATAAGCCACAGGGCTGGTCCTGGCAAGTCGGCCTGAGTCGGGAGCTGAAGGAACGCGGGTGAGCTTCGGCTTTGGATTACTGAGCTTTCTGGGAGCCTTTTAAAGCCAGGCTGTCCTGAGGGCTCTGCTGGGGGATAGCATTTTCGCTCGTTCTCAAATGGTCTTTTGAGAAATGCATACTCGGGAGTCCACAGACTCCGAATCTTGACGGTGGATGTGAACAGGGAAAACAGCCCTCACTACCATTAGGAAAGGATCCGAAAGGCCCTACCCCGCCTGTCTGAAAGGCGGGGGTGATGCATCTGTGTGCTTCATTAGCAATCCTAAATAAAATGGACTCTGAATTAATTTGAAATTATTTAGAGAGACGAGTAGATACCCAACATGGAATCCCTTGAAAACTGGAGGCCGAACCTTTCCCTGGGCCTGGTGACTAAAAGTAACTGAACCGTCAAAAGGTCTACAGAGTCGCACTCCGGTCCCTCTCTCCCCGCACACACCCGCCCCAGTCACTTCCCCATCTCGCCAGGTGTCCTGAGAAAGTGCTGGAGAAAGGTGCACTGCAAAGGAACCTGGGCCCTCACACGTCACGTTCAAATTCCCGAAGAGCAGGAAAATGTGGTTACTTTCTCAGGGACAGGAGTGGGACAGGGGAGTTAGTCGTTCACTCTTTCCTACACAAAGACGCCGCGTTTGGGCGAAATTTGCAAGCCTCTGAGGTTGCCTTCCAAGGAGTCCCAACAGCAAGCGGCTGGAGCTGCCGAAGGGTGTCAAAGTCTGTGCAGCCCAGCGTGAACTCGCCGCTCACTCTTCCCGGGCATCTCTAAGCAGTCCTGGAGACCTTAGGACCACAACCCCTACGGGCCCCGCTCTTCTTCTCCACGGGATATTTAGTTTGCCTGCCGCAGTGCCCTCCGCCACCAGCCATTCCCGATGGAAGGACACCCAAGGAGAGGAGAAAGCAGGTCTTGCTTGGAATTGCTGATCCCCTGGGACCCTTGCCCACAGCCAATGGGCTGGGCCCGGGTTCGAGAGGTGAAAGTTCAGGCCCCGGACTCGCCCCGAGCTTCTCTGCTCCAGTCGCCTCTCTTGCAGCTCCCCCGCCCCGCGGCCCCTCAGCAGTCCCAGCCTGGCTACCAGGGGCTGCCACGGTGGCACGTAGTTTGTTGATGGGTGGTCATAAAATATATTTATTTGCAATTCCTTTAACTCACCCACCACCCCCGCCCCCGACATGGCCCTGAACACTGCGGGCTTTGTTCGCCTGGGCTGGCTGCTGGAGCCGGCCGGGGTTTAGCGCGCAGTGCAGGCAGACTCCAAAAAAAAGTTGCAGTATCATAATAGGAAAACCGGGTTTCCGCAGCCCAGGGAAATGCCAAAAGGGCAAACAGCGAACGAATAGTTCTTTTTTGCACCAGTCACCCGTCCGCTTGCTGGATCACCGCAGTCTTGCAACCAAACACTGAGTGCCTGGGAGAGAGGGTAAGTCAAATTATGACCCTTAAGTAGCCGACCAGCTTCTAGCCACACGTGGGTCTGCGAAAGTCATTCAACGTGCTTCCAAGGAAAAGTTGATTAGGGTTACTAGGTGAATAAGCGATTTCACCACGTGGACCTCGAACCTCTCTCGCGAAAATTTATTTGATTTGAAGTTTATTTTACGACGAAACCGCAAATCAACAAAATCTGAAAGACTGCTCTATTAGGGTGCTAGAGAAAGATAAATTCGTTTGAAGTGGTGTCTGTCAGAGTATCTTGCACAAAATAAACCATTCCAAATGTGACTAACTGAAGCCAACGTGAAGAAAACAGCGTATGCGGATAACGCTTTAGAAGTGGCGGTTTAACGCTGATCTTTTATTTGAGTGAGTCACTTGATCTTGAGTTACTTGATATAAAAATATAGTCATTCACATACTTGGGCTTTTTTTTTTCCTCCCCAAACTTTGAGTTAAACATGAGCTACTTTTTCTTCTTCTTCCCGGGCGTTTTATCGGTGTAACTGTGACAACATAAAATTTAAATGATTTCTTAGCTGGAAAATGGAGAAGTGAACAATTAAAAGTCATGTTTTCTCTTTAGAGATACCATCTCCAAAGTTGTGTTGCCCATCCAAAAGGCTCTCTCTAATAGCAATCTTGAATACCGGGGATTTTTTTTCTTTTACACAGACAAAAAGGCAAGTGTTAAAAGGCCCGTTTTTTAACATGATACAGTTGTGTGAACTTGAGCAAATGGAGACGTTCTTTCTAAATGGTTTGTGTTTCCACTCTCCTCCTAGGCACAGAGAGGGCAAGGAGAAAAATCTAGCTCCTCAGAAGTCTGACCAAGGATAATCTGATACAATGTCAAAATGCGGAGAGTTGTGGAATCGGTGGAGTTACACCACCATCTGTCGTTAAGCTCTGGGACTACAAAATTCCGGACCTAATAAAAATCATAATGAGCCTTCCCAACTTAAATAATAACAATAACAACAACAACCTAAACTTTCCATCTTTTAAAAAATATATAACTTACACGCTGAAGTTACCTAACACATGTTTCTTCCTAGCTTCATACTTTTGCCCAGGTTCTCTTTCTGCAAAGCAAATAGTCCAAATCTTCTATACTCCAGAGAAAGCATTTAAAAATATCTGTGGGTCTGCAAGGTTCTCCCCACACGCATACACCCCACAGTAACCCTTTGCTTCCAGTAAGCATCTGAGAAGAACTTAGGACACTCCAGGAACTAGGAATGTCTTCAGTGAACCGAATGACATTTTTTTTTTCTCATGACAATCAAGACTGCATCCTTTGTTAGTATATCCTCTGTAGTGGATAAAACACAGCTTATCTTTGTAATAAGGTTGGCTGTGTCAAAAAAATGATTAAAAAGCAGTCAGTGCCAACTTCTGGTTCATAGTTGTGCTTTCCAGAAGGACAAATATCAGTTTCTCTGGGATAGACTTTATGGGCTAAGGACATATTGCACCAAGACATATTTCAGTCAAAATGGTGTTTAAAGAAGCACAGCAACTATCTGCTTTTCAGTCAAAAGCCTCGATAAAGCATTGGCAATATTTCTCACACAAAAATCAAATGGCTCAGTATTTGTACTGTGTGACATTTCTGAAGAACTAAAAATCTGTCACTCTGGACACTGTTGCACCCTTTCCTTGTTAAGAAATCACTAAATTTCTATCTGCCTGAAAATAAAA